CGACGCAGCAGTGATGAGATGCGGCAGGAAACGGACATTTAAAGACATTACATGCTAAAATATCGTTATTAACGTAATCTCCTATAAACGCTGCTTGCTGCTTTACAACTTTTTCGCCATTAGCCTCTCTGAGATCGGTGTTATTAGTCTTAGAAGATAGGTGAGGTGCGTAAGAGTCTACGATGATGCTATTGGGGCCAAAATTGCGCTTCGTCATGCGAAAAAGAGGACACTGTTCTCTGATCTACGTGCCTTTTGATGCATTCAGCATCCGTTTGATGTTGTCGCTGGAGGTGAAGAAGTATTTTGTAGTTCAGATATGCTTAGAAGTTTTTCTCAGTCTACACAAAGTCCAGGCTGTAGCACTGTCCACATGTCCGGGCTGCTGCAGCTTCTATTAAACTGTCTATACCGTGATGATGTTCAAACTAGTGTCATGTATACAGTGCTATATGGCTAATCGACACGCCAAGCTTTTCTCATATCGACTATTTGGTTCTCTTGTACTAATAGGCGCAGACTGTATTTTATTCTTAGCGTTCTTCCATGACGGCTTGCTAGACCCAGAGCATCGACATAGTGGAACACTCTGCTAGCAATGGCCTATCCGAGTTCTTGTAACTTTAAGCAGATTGAAAATCTAGTGAAAATGATGTCATCAACTTTTTTTTAGTAGTCACGAAACTTCGGCATTCAAGCCTTGCCTTTACATCTGCTCTAATGCCAAAAGATATTCTGCTTGGATGGAATAGCAAAAATGAAACAGAGTTATAAGATCTCGAAGTTGGTGAAAAATTAAGTCTCCCAGGTAGAGACTTAACAAGTCTAAGATCTGAATTACATACGACCTTTTGTTTAGTGGATGAGAAGTATTTTATATTAAATTTAGTATGTTGAAAATATCAGTAACCAAATAAGCTGTATATCGCATATTGCCATGGATGTTCTTTATCGATAGCGATTGTTTGTTACCTGTTGTCACTTTAGTATGAATCCTTCTTTTCTCACACACATAAAAAGTTGCTAAAAATTGTTACATATCTAGTTTTAATAATTGAAAATGGCGACAAATAAAACAGTAATTCGAAGTTGTTTACTGTATGAGTACAAACTTGGTACAAAAGCTGCGGCGGCGGCGCGAAAAATATGTACCGCACTCGGAGATGATGCCGTTAGTGATCGAACAGCACAGAAGTGGTTCAAAAAATTTTCTTCGGGAGATCTCAGTTTGAGCGATGAACCGCGCTCTGGGAGACCAAAAATCATGAACAACGAGGATCTTCGACAGGTTGTGGACGCAAATTCCAGGAAAACGTACCAAGAACTTGCATAAATGTTCAGAGTGAGTCTTGAAACTATTCGTTTGCATCTTCATCAGCTAGGAAAGACGTGGAAGTTAAGCAAATGGGTCCCACATGAACTGACAAATGATAACAAATTAAGTCGTCTTGCCCTTTGTTCATCAAACATTTCACGCAACGCTAATGAACCATTTCTTGATCGGTTATTAACCTGCGATGAAAAAAGGATCTTGTATTCGAATTCTAAGCGTTCGTATCATTGGTTGTCGCCTACTGATTCGGTACCACACACGCCCAAGGCTTCCTTGCACCCAAACAAGGTTTTTTTGTGTGTTTGGTGGACAGCAACTGGAATTGTCAAATTATGAGTTTTTGAAGAGGGGTCAAACCATCACTACTAACTTGTCTTGTGAGCAGCTTCAACGAGTACAAGCAGCACTCATTCAGAAACAGCCTTCACTGATCAGTCGGAAGAAAGTGATATTCTTGCAGGATAACGCCAAGCCTCATACCGCAAAAGTGACCCGAGAAAAAATTTCTGAACTCGGCTGGGAATCCTTATCGCACCCGCCATATTCTCCCGACATTTCGCCCAGTGATTATCACCTTTTTTTGTCTCTTGACAACTGTATGAGGCACCGACAGTTCACAACTCGAGATGGTGTAATAAATGCAGTCCGCCAATTTTTTGACTCCAAATCCAGGGAGTTCTACAGTACCGGCATACAAAAATTGATTCTACGTTGGCAAAAGGTCATTGAATGAGATGGTAATTACTTCGACGAATAAATAGTGTCTTATTGTTTCTCAATAAAAATTTATGTTTTTCTACTAAAAACCGCACGAACTTATTTGGTTACCTGATATATTGCGAGTGGATTGGCTGGAAAATTCCGAGACTAATAAAAAATTGAAAAATGGCTTTTTATTAAACAAAATGCTAATGATATTGTAACATCCTGTATAATGCGGTAGGTCATACTTTGAATTCTGTCTGAAGTTGTTAAATAGTATGTACAAATAATTGGTTGTAATAGAAAAATGGTTAAAATGTTTTTTTTGTGGCTCAAACGATTTCTTAATCGACTTCAATGCAGAAACTTTCACAAAACTGTTCTTCGAAGTTAGGTTTTCGTAAAAGAAAGACCTTAAATACAATGAGGTTGACCAAACTAACGCACCACTCGGTCTTGTTGGTAACCATACCACGTGTTATCAAAGGGTGAGTAGATATAATTAAGAATTTAAAATTTTTTTACAGAAGACTGTAACACATAATACACTGAATATCAAATACCACTGCCACACCTATAAATATAGTGCCGTTTGCGGTTTAGACTCCCATTCGACTAGCAGTCCTTTTAAGGATAGTGGGTGAAAGCCTTTTTATACAATAAGTTTTAGGCTTAATACTTCTTGAAGTATAATTGGAATAATACTATTTCTATTATCATCTCGAAATGCTGTGTTACGTTTGTAACAGGAACTTCAACGTGCATCAGTTATCATTTGCGAATGGTGGTTCAAATGTTAATAAGCGTCAACTTGTTATTACTAGGCGTGACTGGCCTAACTATCCCTCTTTAGTCCTAAATGAAAAGACTAGATTATGCATCACCCTCAACCAGTGAATTATTGCTGAGATCATTGCGATTGAGGTTGATACAAATTGTATGAGATTGAATGTCCCTTTTCAAACAGAGTCTCATACTTGTATGCTGTGTAATGCGCAAAATAACACCCCCAGATTATCCGTACCATTGAGAGTCCAGATTTTCACTGTAAGAAACATTTTCGTATCTGATAATGTACAAATACATAGTTGTAAAATTCATTAAGCCAGGTTATTTATTTTAAATTACTTTACAAGGCCATGTATTATGAAAGTTTTTCTTCAAGAAATGAGAAACCACTCGCGAAACAGAGGTAAGTGTAGAGATTGGAAGAGCTTAACGAATGAGGACTTTGAATGCTTATCAACAATTAATAAAAATCAATTTGAAGAACTGACCGATTTTTGTGATCCAGTACTTATCAATGGAACATTAAATCGAGTAGAAAGGGAGGATTTATTGCTTTTCTTACGTAAAATGAGACAAGAAGTAAGAGACGAATTTCTAAAAATCATGAAAGTAGATCTTTCGCTTTGTCCATTTACCTGGAGGATATACGACTTTTAAGAATTTATCTGACCTTAACCATAACCTTGCGATATCCTAGCAACAGTATGTTTTACTTTTTCTCTGATAATATTATTTTAACACTGATGTTGTCCTCCCAAATCTACCAATAACCCCTACTTCGGGATATCTGGGTTCCGGGCTGGCTCCACTGTGACCTTTGATCACCATGTTTAAAACTAATATAAGGAAACTGCCTGGTTCTTTAGTATGTTAAAAATATATCGCGAGTGGGTTGGCCAAAACATTCTTGACGAGATTATGATTTATTAAATAAAATTAAAATAAACACGATAATGGGAAAATCCCGTTTCTTCCATCTATCTATATATAATATACGGTGTAGAAGGTCGTTTCTAATAAAATAATAAATAAAAATTCTAGAAGTTCAAGCTACACCAGCGGCGTATAGATAATAGATATATTTAACCATTGCAGAAGGGAAAATGTAAAGCCTTTCTGAAGGAGATAAAATACTATGACAATCAAGGATGCCATAAAGGCGTCCTACAATTGTAGGAACGACTGATGATACGGCCCTTAGTCGTACGGGAAAATTTTGAGGGAAAAATGTATATGATAGTTGCGTAGAATTGCCGGAGTGAGAAGCGTATAAATATACCATTTTCAAAAAATTGAGATGTATCCTACCCCACCCTCTGCAACCGCCTATCAGCTAAAAGGCAAGTACGTAGCATCATTATAATTTCATAAATTTGAACGCAATAATCTTGCAAAGCTTTGCAGATCAGTACCTACCTTTATATTAAGGAATAATCCAAAATAACAATTTTCAAGTACTGGTGGATAAGAAGGATTTATGCTATGATCGTTGTGTAAGATGCACCAATGTTAAGAGATTTTACTTCAAAATTCATTTTTACTCTTTTCCATAATTGCTAGGGGGCGTAGCTCTCGCCTGACAAATCAAAAAACATTCTTGATAGCTCACATTTTATCCCACACGCCTTTGAAATATACAGATCCGAAAATACTGCTTTGTTACCTCTTTTGTCCTATCTAGATCCACTTAGGGGGACGAATAATTATGAGATTTGTTACATACAGTGTATGGTTTGTTCGTACAGCCTTTGCTGACAAGCAGCAAATTGATAGTCGGTGACAAGTCATCACCTAGTTTACTCAGTTAGCTGTCACTGACACGTTTCTGATTGTATAGAATTATTACATGAGAACGAGTTGGCTGAGGGAGCTAACCAACAACTAATCCGCTGTTCGTACAGAGCGTTCTGACTGTTTGACGACTGTCAAATTAGTCAGTAAATTGTCAGACCTCAAAATCAAGTACAATAATTATTCGAATACAAAATTTTTCAGAATACAGTACGAGGAGGACAACTGATATATCCATAGCAGCGTTAATGAAATAAAATAATGAACTAAGGGCAAACATTGAGCAAAACAGTATATACTACTACTAGAAAAACAAGAAATAATTAATCAACTCACAAAAGAAAATGAAGAATTACAGTATCGCAACAAACTTTATGAATCACATATGCTAGAAAGAGCCAGCATAGTAGAAGTTATGAGAAAACTAACAGAAAGGCTAGAAAAATTAGAAAATCGACAAACGCCTATATCATATGCAGCAATAACCAGCGCACAGCCAAGCACACCCATAAAAACACTGAAGAAGCTAATAATAAAGCCCAAAGACAAACAGAACAACATTGAAACAAAACATGAACTAAACAAGCACATTGACTTATCCAAGTTACAAATAAAAATATCAGCAGTGAATAATATCAAAAATGGAGGCGGCAAGTTAGATTTCAAGAGGAAGACATAAAAAGACTAAAACATGAGATGCAAAAACGTCTACCGTCCAGTTATGAAATTTTTTAAGAAGAAAGGATGAAACCTAAAATCAAAATAGTCGGGTACAAGGCCGAAGAAAAACCATCAGCAGAAGAAATAACAGAAAAAACTTCTACATAAACGAAAACGAAATTAAAGTCACCTACGTTAATTATATTCAATCAAAACATTCTTATACCATTTTCGCGGAAGTAACAAGGAATTAATTTATTTAAAGCAATTTTAAGTAATGATGAAGGTACGATCCTGCAGATTGGCAGTCCTTAAAAGTTTATAATAATATCATTAATCGGTGCAGACACTGTTGCAGATTTAACCACAATTCTGCGAAATTTAGAAATCTTAAAGTCTGTTTTAAATGTGGGAAAGAACATGATGGTGACAGATGCAGCGCTCAATCACCAACATGTTCGAATTGTGTCTATACAAATTTAACACACAAACAAACACACATTACGAATCACTATGCTTATGATAAGAACTGTCCAGTGTTTCAATATCAGCAAAAACAATTCTTATCAAAAATTTAATTTTGAATTTTTATCTGTACATATTCCACAGTTTTACACTTATATTAATTTTATACTTTACTGTTTTCAGTACTGAATATTTTAAATGATACATTTTAAATATCTATAATGAGTATTGGAAACTTTGCAAGGCATTATGAACCAGAATCAGTAAATACACTGGTAGCAGAAAATATACCGAGGGGTAAGTTTTTGTTGAACAAACATATTAAGGATGATTACACTATTATTCATATAAATATACATACATTTTCCTACTTGTTGTTATATACTTTTGCGAAACTTTCACAGAGTTCTCAACATGGACAAGAAGAACTGAGACTACGAAAATACATATAAGTAAGTCTTAAGTCGCATAATTTCGCATTTTGCAACTGTAACAAAAAATTTCAAAAGATCAGTGATCACAAAAATCGTATTAATTATGGGTCTTGAAAGTTATGTCCTCTATTGTTCGGATTTTTCATACTGTATTCATAATCTTCATTTTTCCATCACCGGGTCAATAAACAAAATATTGAGCACAAATCACTTTGGCGCTGCCTGATATTTAAAATGGAATTTCTTCTGCCACTTGTTCACCCGAAAATGTTACAAAAACTTGTTGCTGTTGAATTGTGGCAATGTTTTCTCCACAAAATTCAGGTTTGTAAGAGAACAAATTAAAAATTATTGCTTTATATCCATTATAATATTATATATAGCGACCGTTTCGTTTAAAAGAGCGTCTTAATAAAATCTAGCATGCCATGACATTTTAAAACAGAAACAAATAAAAAAAAATTGGTGCAAACGTCAAAACCGTTGGGGTTGCGTTGTTTTTAAGTTGACTTTCGAGTTTTTTAAAATGTCACTTGAAAATGAAATAAAGTTTGATATGCTTGAGATCTCTTTTGAATTCATGCAAAATGCAACTGTTGCTGTGCTGTCCGATATAGGCACAGACGTCGCTGCCATAAGCGAGCGTTCAGCAGGCTTGCCCAGCGACTAAGGAATACAGGAAGTATCCGCCGTCCTACCAAAAAAAGGAAAACTTCTAGCTTAGAAAATATAACAGAAGTGTCAGGCTACATGGAAATTAGCTACGGCTCCAGCACATAAGATATCGTTAGAGATTTAGGGCCGTACCGTCAGTCGTTCCTACAACTGTAGGACGCCTTTATGGTCTCCTTGATTTTTATAGTTTTCTACTATTCCCTATCAGCACTCTCTTTCAATAGAAGAGCGTCGACGCTGACACGGAAAAGTAGAAATCTAGAAATTGCCCAGCCTTTCTGAAGGAAAGGAAATACTATGGAAATCAAGGAGGCCATAAAGGCGTTCTACAAGTGTAGGAACGTCTGACGATACAGCTCTTGGGCATGACTATTTGTGTCACTTATGATTCAGTTACTAGTCGTCAGTTATTTTAAAGCGTTCTATTCAAGTATCTGATAAAATGTGGAACATTCCTTTGAAAAGAATATTCAAAATCTGTCAGTTGTCTTAAGCGGAATATCTCATTTTTTTTTTTAAATTCAGATAGAATCTTCCGAAAGAAGAGGGTTGATATAAGCTTTGTTCGTACAGTGGTCGGTGACTTGTCGGTGACTGTGTCTGGGATCCAGCCAAGTGAATTCCGTCTAAGTAGCGTAGCAGAATGAACAGAATTTGTATGGCTGGATCTTGGACAGGGTTATAACATAATGCACAATGTATAAAAACTGTCAAATTATAATTACAAGTTCTTAATTATGAGCTTTAAAATGGAGCATCACACGACCCATTCCATATAAAAAATGTGCAATGATGGCGTCCAGAACTTCTCAATTTCCAATTTTACGTTAGAATATACAATAACATCCATGTATCAATTTCATCACCCCAACCTTCCGCTAATTTCACCAATTCAATAACTAGATGCTGGAGGATCTTCATGAAAAGCATTGCATTTTTCCAATAATAGCCCAAAGAATTACGATTTTATGTTTGTCCCAGTACTTTATCAGCACTCTGTATGCCTAGCTAGGACAAAGAGCATAACCAGAATTTTTACTCGAGCCTGGTATGATGTTCATCGTAATGAATTGCATTCTATTTTCAATACAACTGCAAATGACGATGATGACGATAATTGATGAATTGGCTTTTCATTCAGCTGAATTGGCCGAGACGTGTTTTGATCGTGCTATAATCTCTGCTTTAGGTCATTTATAACCAACCACTTCTGTTTCGCAGCCTTTCTCCAGCCGTTTGTAACCAGTTGCTACGATTAAAAATTATTGATTATTTCTCCTTAAATAGTTTGTAAGATGTACGGATGTTTTATTAACAGACTTTTATAAATAGATTCCAGATGCGTTTAATTGGTGACACTCTACATCATATTATGATCTGTTACTACACTATTTGCAAGAAGGCATGAAGTTCCACAATGAAGAATGGCGTTAAGTAAGTTGAATCTGCACTCCTCACGAGACATTGTCAGCAGTTCATGAAGCATTATGTTCGGCACAAGTTGGCCCCTCCAAAAAAAAACTTTATTGCTTACATGTATGACAAAAATAAAATAAATTGTCAAGTAAGCCACGCTGTCCATAGTCCCCACGCTTTTTCTAGAAACTGGTTGCTCCCTATCGAAATTATCAACCATCCAGCAACGTTACTGAGCCATACCAGTCCGCCATATAGTATTATCAGGTCTATCGATTTTTCGGTAGATCTATCGATTTTATCCTCATCTGCCGAAGTACCGATTTTAATGCAAAATCTGCCGAAAAAAATTACCTGTCCTTTTCTCTATCCCAATTGTCTCATATATTTCTGCTGTGAAATAGGACAACAAATCAACAAAATACTATATTGTAATATCTAACTTTTGTGGAGGGCGGAAAATCTGACGATCTCCACCTACCATCGACAGACTTTTTGCCCACACCCCGCAGTATTTTTAGTTTTTCAGACGTCTTTAGTCACTCGTTTGCTTTCCAATAATCTGTCTACAGGACTAATAGACCTATAACGCTCTGAGCTGCTAATGAGCACAGTACAGCGCTGTCTGTGGTTGGTCGTGATTACAGAGCCGGGAAGCAACCGAGTACATTTCAAATGTCACAATCGTGTTAACTAAGAATTGGTTTACATACCCATATACGCATATAGATATATCCGCGCCAATTGGCGAAAAAGTATTGCAATCGCGAGAAACCTCCATAATGAGATATTATGTTTTTGGATGTTACATATGTATCATCGGGAAAAACATGTCACTTCTTTCCGTTGGTCTGTCGGTCTGTTTGATCGCTAATGATTGATCCCACTGTAAGCACCGCTGGTATTTTATTAAAAATTTTACGCAAGATTACTGCTATCTCAGGGTTGGAAAAGCTTTGTAGGACTTGAAAACCGATTCAGTGACTTCGGAGCTATGGGCAAAAATCGGTTAAACTTCGTTTTTTGACGTTCAACGATGATCAGAAAAAAATGTATAGGTTGAAAACTGGGGGTGGGGAGTGGGGTGTAGTTGCAGGGAGTGGAGAAGTTCATTTCACGATTTTTAGTGGGTAACAATAAAACTACTGGCAATCTGGCTCTGTGCGCGAGCGTTTGTTTGTGTAAGCTCAGGCATACGTTCTTTAGCTTCATCTTGCCACCTCGAACATTTTCTCGCCAACGTATGAGATTCAGAATCTATGCGTGTCGTGTGTACAAGAGCAGCTGCGCTTACGATCGGTTTGGTCAGGGTGCAATGTTCCTACGCTCACTTATTTCGTATGGCATTGGTGACGTAACCGCCAAACATCATGTTTTAGGCGTTAATATACTTATACGCTTTTATTTGTTATTTGCCTTTAAGATTTAGAAAGAAATCTTGTTAATACCCACAACCAGTGCAACGAAAATAGGAGATATGGGTGGTGACTCAGAATTAATTGTATTGCTCTATTTGGCTGACTTGATCTAACCGATTCCATTGTTATACTTGTATGTAGTTATTTTTTCTTCAAAAGGGTTTAACTTGTACCAAACATAATCTGTTGGCGAATTGATAATAACGCTGCTTGGGACGTGCAGAGTGTTATGAATATTTCGTTTCAGTTGACACATAAGGTGAGGAAAATCTCGACAGCCGTCGTCAGAAAATACTTTACGTTCTTAAGGTATTTACTAATGGATTCGAGAGTTTTAGAGAAAACTTAGTGCTTTCGACAGCCTGCTTCAGATTTACGATCGGTCAATTGGTTTTGAAAGTATTAGGGAAAAACGAAAATGGCGGAATTTGTTTTTTGTCATAAAATCCAAAACGGTTAATTTGACAGCTGTTAAAATGTGAAATTTTTCAAAAAAATATAATAGCATATATGAAATGTCTCAATCGTCTTTTGTTTTCCAGCAACCCACCTCAACTTTTATTTCTCTTATGGCCGCCATATTGGATTTCGGTTTTTGAAAGGAGTGCAAA